TAAGCAAGTGCTACAGTAGTTATTCAATAAAAATACCCAATGGCTCCCATTCTGCTTTCAGGATGGAAAACACTTACTTTCTTCCTGCATTCGTGCTAAAATTTGCACATCTGTAACATCATTTAGCTTGTAATTAGACCCAATAGAGTCTTCATCCATCTCCGACGCACTTAATTCACTGTCCAGGGAGGACTGTGGACTCAGCGGAGGATTTCTGTCTCCTGAACTTTTAAGATGACCTATGGAAAGAAAATGAAGTAATAGGAAACATTATTAAAACAAACAAACACACAAAAAAGAGGCAAAGTGCACTTCATTTCCTAGTAAAAGAACCACAAATCTGAAAATAGATTGTTGCTGAGACAGTGAGTCAGACAGACCATTTGAAACATCTGATTGTGAGCCTAGGTTGAAAATATAATTTACAAAAGCAGAGCTTAGCCATTACCTTCTGAAAATGAGCAACTTCATAAAACCATTGTAATGGCATCCAAACAAATTAGTGACATGTAATCTGGTCTGTCATACTATGTTTCTACTGCAATGAAGTTTTTACAACTCAAAAAAAAAAAAAAAGCGCAACTGCATACCTGGTTCAATTTGTGCTTTCATTCTCATCACTGCATACTCCCTTGTAAGACATAGGTTTGACTACATCTTTCTTAATGGTAAGAACTTACTGATGCACTGAATACTGATTTTGTTTGGAATGTTTAAAATGTAACAAAGAAAAACTCTTCCTGTTTGCTGTCTTCTGGCTGACACCCCAGCACCTCTTACATCTCTGTCCCCCAGACACAATGCAGAGCAGAGCTACAGAGATTGAAGTAAAACCTGGGCAATGGCTCTCGTGCAGTGTAGGCTTCTCTACATGTCCACAGAGTACTGACAGCAGGATTGCCAATGCAATGCTTTTTCACGTTCCCTGTAAGTTACATTGAGTTGAAGTATATACAAGAAGCCAATAAGACTTCAGAGTAGATACAGTCCAGGCATCAATTTTTCTCAGGCAAAGGAAGTATCTACAGTGCTGAATAAAGGCAAAAAACATTGCTAGAAGTTTGTGTTTACACTAATGACTGCAAAGCCTCATGGAATGCCTTTAGTTGAAACACGCTTCTTCCTTAGAAGAGGTATCCCTCAGACTTACTGAGGGATACACTGCATACCAAATGTTTATGTTAGTAAGCAATAGGATAGTTGCAAACACCTCACAATTACCAACACCTAACCTCTGAACACCTACCATGCAACTTACATCCCAGTCAATTACAGGGTCAATTCCAAAAGCCACTTACCTTGGGAGTACCTTGGGACTCCATGGAACTAGAACTATGTGCTTTGGTCTAACTGCTAATACACATCAGTAATTTTTGGGATATGGACATCCAAAAAAATATTTTAAATGTATGGCATGCCAGAAAGCCTGTTAAAAAAAGTCTTTCCTGAAAGGCTTAAATACTGCAAACATCTACAAAAGACTGACAAGTTTTTGGTGTCTTTCTTACTCTAGTTCGATGCAAATGTCATCTATTTGAGCATGTTTTTGAAACGAAGAGGAGGAAGAAAGGGAAAGACCAGACACACACACTCACCTGAGGTACCAGGAGGTATGAGCTGTTTCACTAAAGCAGATTTCACTGGTGTTGAGGAGGGAGAGTTGAAACCACTGCTGTAGGGACTACCGGTATTTGGACTATAGGAACTCGCGTAACTGACGGCACTGAAAGGGCTGCTGTACAAACTCTGCCTCTTGAGAGCTGCAGCAAAGAGGAGAAAAGGATGAATTATACTGAAGGAACCAATAAAAAAAGACTACAATACCACATGGTAGCTTCATTGTGATTAATTACTATAAAATTCAAGTAGAAAATTTCAATCACCAGTAAGTTTTTCAACTGATTTCTTCACCCCCTAGGTATAACCATTTTGTGAAAGGAGTGGGAAAAGAGGCCAAGACACAACAGTGACAAGTATTTTCTTTGTAGAAGTTAGATCTAAGATCACTACAACTGATCTCTTCAGTATGTTCAGTGTAGGTGCGGGAAAGCAGAAGGACAGCAGTAGCTAAGTTACACTAACGTAAGTCCTATGCACAATGACATACAAACCACAGCACACGATGAAGTTCTCCAGAACTCACCGACCTGTCTAGATCACATAATACTTCCACAGTAATCACAAGACCAGCATCACAGAACTAAGCCATACCACCTACAAAATTTCCCTAAGCATATGCTAAAGTAAAAAATCATTAAGCATGGCAAATGCTTTCTGGGTACCATGAACCTACTGGGCTAAAGCGAATTGACTGTAGGGATTCTGTCAGTTGGACACCACAAGATAAAGATATAAAGCTAGAGATACTTCCACAGTAATCACAAGACCAGCATCACAGAACTAAGCCATACCACCTACAAAATTTCCCTAAGCATATGCTAAAGTAAAAAATCATTAAGCATGGCAAATGCTTTCTGGGTACCATGAACCTACTGGGCTAAAGCGAATTGACTGTAGGGATTCTGTCAGTTGGACACCACAAGATAAAGATATAAAGCTAGAGATCATCCAAAGGAGAAAGATGGTGTGGTGAAGGGCCTCCAGGGGAAGCCATATGAGGAGTGGCTGAGGTCACTTGGTTTGTTCCACCTGGAGGAGACTGAGGGGAGACCTCACCACTGTATACAACTTCCTCACGAAAAGAAGTGGAATGGCAGGCACTGACCTCTTCCCTCTGGCAAGGGGAAGTGGAGGTGCAAACACTGATCTCTTCTCTCTGGCAACTAGTGACAGAACCTGAGGGAGTGTCCATGAAGCTGTGCCAGGAGAGGTTCAGGTCAGACATTAGACAATGGTTCTTCCCCCAGAGAATGGTTGGGCACTGGAACAGGTACTCCAGGACAGTGGTCACAGTCCCAAGCCTGACTGAGTTCAAGAAGCACTTGGACAACACTCTCAGGCATATGGTGAGATTCTTAGGGATGTCCTGTGCAGGGCCAAGAGTTGACCTCAGTGATCCTCATGGGTCCTTTCCAACTCAGGATATTGCATGATTCCATGATTATTCCCTTCTGGATACCTCCTGTTCTAATGCCTTGGGATTTTTTTGTCGATAGGCTTCAACCTCATATACAATATATGATCTAATCTGACATTTATTGTTAATATTTCAATGCTCAAGTATTCTCAAATTCATTTTAACCACTGGTGGTTTAATTGCAGTGTTTGCCTGCAATTGCCTGGTTGCCAGGTGCATGAGGTATATAGCTAATTAGATGACTACTTTGTTCAAAAATTTACATTTTATTTAAATGCAATAGAAATGGAATTTCAACAGGGGAAGTTAGAACCAAAGGAAGTTTGGACACTTCTGGTAAAAATCAGTTCCTTCATTGCTGAAAGTATATTTATATACTTCTGTACTAAAGAACAAATTAAATCACAAAACACTAAACTGAAAGCTAGAGATCCCAACATGATGGTATGCAAATCTAGATTAGATTAAGTTGCAGCATCTGCAGAAAGTAAATTATTCAAAGAATATTGTGTGACATTTCTATTAGTGAAAATGTGCTTCAGTGAGAGAATTAGGCTTCTGATAGTAGTTGACAAAAAAGGAAGGAATTGAACACCAATTTATTTACTAAAAATCAATCTTGCTTTGACATTACAAGAAGCTAAAAGAGACTACAGTTGTATGAAATGCTGCTTTCAGCAGCAAAGTCTTCTTCAGCTCCTCCTCCCACTCCACTTTGCTCTGGGTCACTACCTCCTCAGTTGCCCAGTACCAACAACAGTGGGGCTGCACTATTACCTGGCCTATTAAAGTAGATTTAAGTTAAAAATACCTAAAGTATTCTGACTGCGTCACTGAATTAGAGTGAAATGACAGTTATAGACAGAGGATGGAAAGTTTATATTCCAGCTTGCACTACAAGTCCTAAACGACATGCACTAATTTCAGCAATTAGTGAATTCTAGCAAGTGCCTAGGTACCTCCAGTTTATTTAAAGTGTCAGAAGGGCAATCTCCATTTTATTACAATGCTCAGTTAACAAAACCAGTAATTACAAGTCATTGTATTCTGATTGACTCTGAGGAGACAAATCCCTTAATAGCAGTTGTTCTGGCACTCACACAGGATCCCCAAAGCATCTACTCCAACTGAATCTTTGTTCTCATGTAAAAAAGAAAAAATAAATTTTCGTCTTTTGCTGAAAATGTCAGTTAAAAACCTCTAAAACGCAAGTCTGCGCAACAGTTCCTTTGTAGTTATTACACAGACAAGTATTTTAAAGTACTGACCACAAATTAGGAAACAATTGTACTACAGTATAACCTTCAAAACAGGCTCTTTGCACATATTCATAATGATACAAGATGTTTGATCAGAGATTTCCTTCCATAAAAGTCAGCATACTTTTGTTACACAGAAAAAGTCTGCTCTGACATGTGATGAGACATGATATGTACAACAGTTTTCATCCTAGTTAATGTGAACTTCTGTCTACACTGTATATTCCACAGGAGCGGGAAAAAAAGCTCAATTCAAATAATTTTTCTGGGTTTTCCAACAGGGATTTCTGTAACTCAGGAAGACATTGCTATTTTTACAAATAGACATGGCTTTATTAGGAGTGTCAGACAAAACTAGCAAGAGAGGTAACTCAACATTAAAATAATCCAGTATTAGATGAAACACTACCTTATGAAGGTTGTGCATTAGCTTTCACAACACCAGAGGGGAGGGTTGATAATCAATTTTATTTTAATGTAAATTTTTTTAGAACATTCAGAAAGAGTATGCAGCATCTAACTCCTTTTACTCAACATTTTATTAAAATGGTCATGAACCTCTTTTGCTGCAGAAGACAGGAAAATTCGAGTGCAAAATATACCTATGGTTCCCTCTAGTCTGAACATGCTTCCAACACTGAGCAGTACTCACTCTGAACTGTAAGCCTGAACTAACTAGTGACAAGGCACTGTGCATCAGTACCTGCCCACAGTAGCATGGACCTGAGAGCTGCTCTTCCCTCCTTTATTATCATGCAATGGAAAACACGATGGAAAAAGAAAACATGAAATACAGGAGTGCATTTGAGACTGAGAAACAGCAAAAATTTATTAGATTAGAAAGATGGAACAACAGGAGCTGACAACATAAAGAGACTCAATGCAAAAGAAACATCAGCAAGGATTCAGGAAAGAAAGTAACAGTAGTGTGGAAAGCCTTATCCACAGAGACAGAAACCAAAATCAATAAACTGAACCAGTAGCTAGCAAGAGGTTAAGTGATGGGTCCACAAGGTACAAGTGCTATGTAAAATGTAAGTCACAAGGTACTCGTGGGGTTGTGGGGTAGGAAACACACACAGGATTACAAGCAGCACCACTTGTCATCTCCAGTGGACAACCCAGTTGTAAGGAACCTTTAAGAATGTCCGTCTCAATATTGCATGACTTTAATGACTTGATGGAGACTGAAAACAGTGACCCCTGGACTGTTTGCCTCAAAGCTTGTTGATTCATAGGGTGTCTCCAGCCACCGAGATAACAAGGCACCATTGTCTATCACCCAAATCCTCCAGCTAACAGATAACTACCAACATAAGGAGGCACCACTGTCCACCACCTACACCCCCCAGCTGCCTAGACCACGAGGCACCACTGTCCACAACTGCCATCTGGGGCTGGGAATTGGTCAGCTCCAGAGAAGGTGACCAGTCAGTGCCTGACAGAGCCCTACAAACAGGACCAGCATCCAGAGCATGGCATGCACACACCACCAAAGAAAAGACAGCTATGGATCATCAGAGTCCTGCTGGACCTATGGTGGTGACTATCTCTGCTGCACCATCCCAAATCTTGCTTGCTTCCCCCCTTTTCTGCATCTAACTTTCCTGTCACTTCTTCTCTCTCCCCCCGGGTAACCAATAATAAAGTCTCACTCCCTAATGGTATTTTGACCTCATCTGTGTCTTAATTCACATTGGGGGAATCGATCGAACACTCCTGAGTCTTATCAGACCAGGACACAAATATCTGTAAGTAGGCTGGTTGCTCTAAAGGACAGTTTTCTTTCTTGTTACAAATTCATTTTTCCATGGAATCTGCTCCAACCAGCAGTCTCAGTGCCCATCTCTTCTACCATTAGTATTTCCCCTTATTAGTACTGTAAGATGAAGTGTGGTATTCTTGCAAGTATCACTGCCCGAGGCAGATTCTCAGGTCTAGGGAAGAAAAAACAGAGGTAAAGTTACCTAAACACATAATTTGAGTGATCAAACTTTCAAATGTGTCCCTTTCATAGGGAAACTTCCTGCCATTCTGCTTCAACTACAAATTTTTAAAGACAGCCTAGGGATAACAAAATTTGTGGTACTTCTGGAAGACTTCTACTTAGTTCTGAAAAGAAGTAAACCATGAATAGAATTAGGTCAATCAACTGCTATCCAGTCTTAAATACCCAGGAATATTCAAATTCCCAAAGCTGTATCATCATTGCTAGATCCCTGTGATCTGGGTGCTTTTCACAGTTTAGAATTTCAGCCTTTGCCTGTACCAAGCCATACATCATGTTAAGTGTTCAGAAAAATTGTTAATAGACATCTGTCCAGGCAGCATGTAAAAAGCACAATAAATAGGGGAGGATCAAAGATGACTCATACTGAAAGCACTTTCACCATTACACCCGTGACTTTTGTAAGAATAAAAAATGGATTCAAATTTTATTTATAATAATTTTACTATATAAATCAGAATAAAGACTGAATGCATCAGGAAAGTATCTAAGGAGGTGAGAAAAGTTACAGACAAGCTCAGCACAAACTTTATATATAACCACATAAAGGAGGTGGCAGTTGGGAACACTCCTGGAACTGTGTTCATATACTCTTAGCTCAAGTCCAGCCATTCTGCTAATTCCTGAAGATAACAGGTAAACATGTAGCAGTATCAGACTGCAAAAAGATGGAAATACAGGGACAGAATAGCTATCAGTAGCAAGAAAGTGTCAGCATAATAATAATAAAAAAGAATAGGCTTCAGGAAAAAAATTAAAATCAAGCAAGAAACCAGACAGACAGAGAAGTCAGACCTGCAGTCTTTTGCTGCTGGTTTGACACAGGGTCAAACACTCTCCAGTTTTGAATATAACCAATGAACTTTTATCAAGGAAGAATCATGAACTCTGGGTTCTTTTTAAATGTGACTATAACAAGATAACAAGTTACTGGGAATGGGAGGAAAAGAAATCAATATTACCTCCCCAAAGTATTCAAAAGCTTAAGCTTCCATCTCCTTAGATAAAACAAAATAAGTAATCTAGCAGAAAAACGAGGTTCCACGTTAACATACAGACAAGTACTTAACAATTATGAGAGGTTAATGCAGGCCTCTATTTTAAAATAAAACACCTCCAAGTTAAAGGTGTTCCTTCCTGAAAACATCTGACCAAACTAGGCAAGTAGCATAAAACACACATAAAACTTCCATCTAATGCCTCCTTTCATTTAATTCACACACTCCAGAAAACGAGTAGAATCAACTACTATTTGTAAACCACAACAAAAAGTTAGACACAGGTAACTGCTGAATCTCTCATCTCACAACTATCTATCAGCTACTTCTGATGCTGTTTCAGAATAAACATGTACACCCCAGGGATTTCAGCATGCAGGAACTTACCTGACATTGTTTGTTCCAGCTTGTGGATCAGTGACTTTTTAGCACATTCAACATCAGGACTTGGGTAATCCAACACTTGTCTGCACCAAACTAATGGACTGAGATATTTTTGCACTGGAGTCACCTTCTTCTTTGGGGATGTATATAACCTGGAAAAGAGAGAAAAAAGTCTATGAGTACAGACAAAATGAGCATAAGATCAGGAATGCAACAAAATACCACATACTATGCTATTTCTATTTTTATACTCTATCTACACTACAATATAATCCCAAAAGATAAGAAAAGCCCAAATTTTACCTTTAAAATAACTACTTGGGATACAGTATAATACTGGTAAAATATGGCTACCCAAGGACTTCTGGCAAAAAGTGCTTCCTATATTGCTATACCAGGATATACCAACTGATATGCCAGGAAAAAGGCACTTTTTCAGACATGTTAAATGGAAAATTTCACAATGCCACATACACATACAAATCAGGACATTCACCCGAAAGAAGGAAATAAAGCACTATGCAATAGGCAACTGTTGTTTTCCTAAATCAAGATTTAGCAAGTTATAAACACCTTAACAGCCAAGAAATGCTAAAGTACATAAAACACAACTACTATTTCAGCAGCCTTGAACAATAAACATTTTTTGTTTTTGTATCCCAGCACCTGATCCTTTCCTTTTCTTTAAACACAAACCAAAGGGACTCTCTCTGTTCTAAGGGGGATACAGTCAAGCACCAGAAACAAGGAGAAAGAGATAATGCATATAGGAGAACCAATGAGATTTTTCTGAACCTGCTGAGGCCTTTGTCATCATTTCCATTCATTTATTTTAACTCAGCATTCCATGACTGAAGAAAGTAGTATTCCAGTTTAAGGGTTCTTGAAAAATTTAGCTGAAAATGTCTCCTCCCTCAACAGACAAGATTAAAGGAAAAATCCTAACTAATCACACACTTAAAATAGGGATGTTTAAGCCTTACTTTGGACTAGAACCAAACTTGGAAATGTGCTTCAGGAAAAGACAACAGCTCTAACTAGAGCTTACACATATGCAGAAACAGCTAAATGAGTGTTTCTTCTAGGAGTAATGACAGACTTATATTCCAAGTGAATAGGATAGTATGCCACACACTAACTCAGGAACATCTGACAGCCTAATCAGCTTCTCTACATAACAGACAGCAAAAATTGCTTCCTTTGTGCCAATGACATCAGCAACGCAGAAGTTATTTCCCACAACTTTCATCTTTACAAGATTATTAGCTGATCTTTCTTTTGTAATTCTAGAACTTGAACCACGTTTGTTTTGTAATAGCTTTAAAAGATTTTTGTTTTAATACTGCCATTAAAGTCACTTCTTAGAAAAGCTTCCCAAGAAGCACGAATATAAAACCACCACGAATATCTCACAGGAAACACTGATCTTCGCTTCGAGCATGCTCTGAAACATCCTTCCCTCAAACTTACTAGCTTGCAAACGCAGGAGAGAAGATTGTTATTAGCTGCCAGGTTTTCAAACAAAAATGAAGCTGTTTGTAACAATGCAAATAGCCACTGCCCCATACTATAGTTCAAGTGGTTTGTGCTCTGGCCAATACCATGCTGGCTATTACAAAGGATTCTGTAGAAATCCTTACAGCCTTTGCAGGCACTCTGCCCACAAGGAAAGCTAAATGCCCATCACATTTACAGCTCTGAAGACTCTCGAAAAGCACAAGAGTCACACGACTTTTCCAGTTCTGTGTAACAATTTCATAATTTTCTGTACTTTCTGCAATTATCTTCATACAGTTAAAAGCAATGTTTAACATTTACTATCTAACAGTTTGAATTCATTGTCTTTGTAGCCTTTGTTTCCCTGTAACCTCTTCTGTCCTAAGCTATGTTTATATCACACAAAGAAGTGCTGAACACAACAAAGCAAATTTCTGTCCTGTACAGGCCAGACTCTCTCCTGGCTCTCTGGATAGCTGACATGCCTTGCTGTGTTTGAGAAGTTCCATGCACATTTGAAGTGTTTACAGTAATACCCAATATAAAAGGCAAAAAATTAAAGTGCATGTCCTCTTTGAGAGAAAGACAAAAGGGGTGTCTTCAACAAACCTAGAAGACTGAAGATTGCTCTACTCAATATTGCACTTGGTATTTTAAGCTTCAACACATTCTTTTTTTGCAATTTCCAATTGCTGAATTTATTTCACAAGTAGTTTATCTACTGAAGCAATCCAGGCCCAACAGCTCCCACTTTTCTACCTCCCTTTTCAACTGAAGACATATTGCATATTCTCCCACCTCTTTCCAGTCAACTGTTTTTCCTTTTACAGCCTTTGTTTTGCAACTTATACTTCTAGACAGAACTTCAGAATATGCATATTTCACACAACTTCACTACCTTACGACAACCACATATACACTGATGCAGTAACCAAACAACTCTTTCAGGGCAGTTTCTTGCACATCATGGAATTATGAGGCCTCATTATAAAGCAGTCATCTTCATTTCCCATCTGACAAAGAATAGCCAATCTCAAGTTTTGAGACTGACTTAATTCTATTTGCCTAATTTAGATTTTAAAAATCCAAATTAGAGTGATGCCTTCACTACTTCCTCTCGTCCCAACAGCAGGAAGGGAAAAGGAACAGAGACTATGAAGCATGTACAAAGAACTTCATACAGTTAAGTGATCTTCATCAAACTACTGTTTGACCCAAAAGATACAGGTCCTCCTTAGCTGAAGAGCTTTCCAGAAGAGATTCCCATTTGTACCTGTTAATGTGTTCTCCAGCAATGCAGCAGCACTGATTGGCAGCACAGCAGCTTTGATACTGAAGATTACCCAAATGATTTCATACTTTTCAAAACACTATAAATCACTTTCTCAAAACAGGAAGTTAAAAGTGATTGAGGAAGATGACAACTTACAGCTCCCACCCGCATTGCAAATGTTAACACACCAGAAACACACACTCCAATATCTCCATAGGAGAGTAAAGACTACAATTCAGTGACAAGGTCGAGTAAAAAAAAAACAAACCACCATACAAAAAGCAGCTCAAGAGCTTTGATCTATTTTGAAACAGCATTAAGAAGCTCAGACACGATGATTCTGCTGCACACAGTACTATTTCCTTCCTTCGGCTGTCACTAGCCAACCATGCCACAGCAGCACCAACCTAAAGCTGAAGGCCAGGGGCTCTACTGATTAGTCCCAGGACAACACAGCACAAAAAAGGGCACAGCTTTCGCAGAAAGACTACTGTCACCACAAGCATGTATGATTACATCAGCTAAATGGGACAAGCTGTAGCGTGTTGCACTGGGACACAGCTGAGCTGGAAAAAGCTTTGGAGAAAGAGGGCAGACCCTGTGGTAGCAGTGGAACACCTGCATAGGGATTACCTCACCTGAGGAACACCTCCCAGGGCTTGTTAAAATACAAGAGGCCACTTGCCACAGGCATGAACCCAGAAGCCAAGATTCTAATCATGAAGAAAGGAAGAGTCTTTATCAAATCCTTCCAGTACTCAGTACAAGAGCAAGGGAACACATGCAGATGAACATGAAGTCACAGATCTGAATTAGAAAGATTGCAAGTGGAAGGAACTTGAGTTAGAGGTCATTTATTTTAGCTACAGTAGCTTTAAGCAAAAACTGGCAGGTACAATAGAAGCAATGAAACTATGGCAGACAAAACATGATGCAGGAAAAGCAGGATGAAAAAGCTGAAGACACAATGAGGAGAGAAAAAGTTGAAATTAAGGACAGATCAGTAAGAAATTCCCATAAAACATGACAAGGAAATTGCACAATGAAAAGCTACTGAAAATAAATCAATCAGGAGACCATGACACTGGACAGTCTTGGAAACAGAACACTTAGAACACTCTTTTAGATCAGTATAAAACTTTCAGGAAACCCTATTTGAAGCAATTTAAGTATATTGAACTTTAATATGGATTTTGAATGAACAGGTAAAGACCCGAAGAGAATCTCTGGTTAAAAAACCAACCAAACAAACCAAAAATTAAGTGACATGCCTGGCCCACAGGTTTCCTCTTTGCTTCTCCCCCACCCCACAAAGTTCCTATCCTACAGTTGTGACTGAGATACACATTGCTTAGCCTGTAATTACTAGTTTTCAGCTGGACTTCAAAGAATGTTTCCAGTTACATGAGATGCACAAGTTATAGTAAACTCTAGTTCTACAAATATAAACTCCAGGATATGAACGCTACAAAAAAAGCTTCATATTAAAGCAGCACATCTTAGTTACATGATGCAATTTTTAAGTAGAACTAAGAATATTCAGAGAGGCTGCAAAGTGCAGTTTGGAACACAACTACCTTTCTGCCCTCCAGCAATTAAAGAGAGCTGGCTGTGCCCTGGCTAGTTGCTGGAAATTACAGCCATTACTCATTTCCTCATCTAAAAGCACATGTTGCTGTCCAAAAGGGATGTTGTAGAAAGGGAAATGGGGCCTTCAAAAACCTCATTAACACCATCATCTAGCTTCCCCAGAACTGTCACACAAAGTCTGTACAACTGTCCACTGTTTGAGCAGCTTTCCACAAGGAATTTGTTAAGAGCTTATATGCTCTAATGTGGCACTGTTGATACTGACATGGAACAAAGCAAAGTTGAGAAGTTCTGTGTCCTATTAAACATGTTCCAAAATAAAAATCTGATGAATGACTAGGCATGAGAGCTCTACCAACACCTACAACAAGTAGAAATGTGAATCATGCCCAAACAAGACATGATTATGAAATAAATTTCAGGAATACCAGGATGACAGTAAAGGAAACTAGCACTGAAGCTTGCAACATATCTAAATATCAATCACGTTTAAGTTATAAACATCACACAAGAAGTGAGAAATGGAAGAAAAGTTCTTCCTCAGGATTCTTCCTCCAGTCCTCAAATATCTGTTTCACAGCAAACATGTATGTCCCAAAGACACTGTCAAGTTGAATATAATTTGATGTTATCAGTTGTTTGACTTGATAAAACTGGCAACCTCTGAAACCTTGAATCTCCTACACACTTCTTTTCATATTATCTTCCTGGTTTGTAAAGACATCTGAATTTGGTTAAACCCCAACAACTTTAAATCAAATTGACATTGATTCTGCCACAAAATGAAA